CCCCCCCCCCCCCCCCCCCCCCCCCCCTTTTTTTTAAAAGAGAGATTCCAGCAAACACTGACTTTTTCAAAAATAAGTGGCAGCGAAACTTGAATTCGAAAATATTTGCATATTTATACATGAATAAGATTCTCTGTACAATGAACACACACAGTTGAAAAATATATTATTTTATATTATGTTTTTAACACCGCCCAATACATTCCCTCTAACTACTTAAGCTCAGCACTCCATGTAGCTTTGAAACCAAGTCTTTCTAAGTTTATAAATGCAGCTACAATGCTATTAGTATATCAGCAATTCTTTCCTCTCATATTTAGCTTGGAGATATACTTGCTACAAGTCAAAAACAATAAAGGAGCGAACGAGTCCCTCTGCAAGAAATCGATGAAAATGGACTGGTGTCCAAAAGTCGTTAAGATGTCGTGCATTTCTATCGCCAAGATGAGCCTCGGAACCATGGGATCTGCCTCCTCTGTCCACAACCACAGCCCTATTGCAGTTTCTGGCCCAAGGTCAAAGGTAACTCTGCAAGTTCACTCAAAAACCCATAATCTGTTACCTGATTGAGCCAACTGGTGAGGAAAGTATAGATGGCAAAGCTTCAGATCATATTAGGAATGTGACAGGATTCCAATGAGGATCCACCAAATGTAACAACTCATATAATGCCTCCCCCACCTTAGTAAGAACGTAATTTCAACAGCACTAGTATTTCAGAATAGTGAGTTTCTTCTACTCGTGGCTTGCTTCATGTACAGTTTAATCTTGTATAATATTGTGTTTCAAATGTGCCCTTAATCTTTGATGAAAAAGATAGTATGAATCCTTGTCGTTGCTTTGTGAAATATACGTGCTTGCGATTAATTAGAACCAAGTAACTGCGAATTTCTTATGATGATGATTGTCGACTCTGTATCATTTTGAAAGAATTTCGGCCATTCATGTGTTGGACCCTACCCCGTCTATGTTTTTATGGTCTAGTTCAAATAAAATAGAAGGATTATAATAATTTCACTGCCCAAGCATCCCATGGCATGAAGTCTAGCAAACATTTTTGTCGCAGCACCAATGAACCAGGCGATATTGAGGATAAAATAAAAATCATAAAGCAGATCTCAAACTTGTTGAAGTCCAAATGCTGCGTTTATGCATCAACTGATGAGTGACATTGCCGATATCAATATATAGTCGAGAATAAAGCCATGTATCCCATCCAACAAAAATAGAAACAGGAATATGAAGACTACGCTTTTTTTCACATGAGATCTAGTCCATAAAATTTCCCTAAAGAGTTAAACATAAGAATATATGTACACATGAGCTTTTGTGGTGGTAATAACATGGCACATGTTATAATGTCATTTAGATTTCCTGCAACTAAACCAGAGAACAAAACTTGATTCAGTAAGCAATCAATCTGATAAAGGTGCATCAACCTTAAGATCAGTGCGGCAATAGGTCAGCCAGAATTCGACTTCCTCACCTGGTTGATATACACCTTCAGCTCATTCTTCACCCGTAGGGATCACCTGAATATACTGCCTCAGCATATTCCTTGGTTTCTTCAGTTACTTTGTCAAACGTGGTTGTAACAGCCTAAGGAAAGTTGGTGGACCCAAAAATGGGATTCCAACTTTTATTGATCCCTTCATGCTGCACTTGGCGTTAGTTCTGTATTTGTCCGAATCTTTATTTCAGTCTCGGAGCTGCTATGTTTCTTAAATTCACCCATGGGTGTTTTTGTTTCCAGACGAGGAAAAGGGGAGTTACTTAGTGTGACTATCTTATCTGTATCTGATACTTCTGATGATGGTTCAGTACTAGAGATAATGCGTTTCAGCTGAGACTTTTGACAGATAATCCGGCCCTTGTTCCAACCTGGGAAACAAAAGGATGATGATACATTATCCTTCAGCAAAGAATATGCAGCCTTTGCAACAGGAAAATCTCGAGTTATTGAGCTCTTCTCCATCTGTCCCCGTCTGCTTGACAGAGAAGAATAATGTCATTTACGGAAAAAAAAAAAAAAGTATTCCAGTACATAGAAGTTTTAGTACTCTTTTTGAACTAAAAATTCCCCAAGAAAAGTAACTTAAAATCTTAGCCAAACACGCTCACACGTACAAATCAGGCAATCATGTTAAATCCTCATATTTGGTGATGAGTAAGCTACGACTAAGTCATCCCAAAATGCGGGCATAAAGGTCATCAACTCTCTAGTCCTTTTACAAACCAGTAATTGGAGCACAAGTACATTAGATGTAGGTGCAATAGACAGAACCAAAGAGCATACCTCTTCCCAGACCTCTCCCAGAAAGATGAACATACTATATTACCAAAAGAAGAAAAAATGGTAACTGAAGGGAATTTTATAGAGGCTATTGTTAACTAAGGAAAAAACTTACACCACGATGACAGTCACCAGTTGAGGAAGATCCTCCCTGTTTATTAACATCTCTTGCATATTATTCAGCCACACTAATATTGCTGTGCATGCACCCCCTGGCCACATCCTATACAAACAGGAAGCACGTTATGAATAATATGGCACAAAATAAATAATCCATTCTTCACTTTTTTTATCCACTGAAGAAAGAAAGTCAATTGTAAAGCCAATGATACCTGTGAACGTCCACAGACCATACAAGTTTGTTTTTACGATATAGTTCAGGAAATAGTCCCCTCTTTGTTGCTTCATTCAGAACTCTCGCAGCCCTTTCCCTCTGTCCCAAACACCAAAGTGCTTCTAGAAGTGTATTGTAGAACCTCATCCCCAAACCGCAGCCCTCAGAATTGAGTTTGTCAAAGACATATTCTACCATCTGCCAGTTACTGGCATCATCGAAGTCTCCTGTGATCATCTGTCCAATAACCTGGTGAATATTGGATACCCTGTTTGTAAGCATCTCGTTTAATAATTCATTGGCCTTGTCCCACCTGAAAATAAGAATTTCAAGATTTTACAAAAATTGACAAAAAGAGATGAAAATAACTATTCCATTAAGCATGTTTGGGAGTTGTTTATAATCGGTTTAAATTATAATAGATAAAAATGAATTTGTGGATAACTAGGTAGTATTTGTGGGTCCCGCAAAATGTGTGGAAAAAAAGTACTTTTGACTGATTATAAAAAAAATTATAAACATGTGCTTAATCTTCAGAAAAAATATGTGCCAAATATGTGCTTAATCTTCAGAAAAAAAATTCTATGAAATAATGCTCAAAAGCTTAGAAAAAACCAAAAAAACAATTGAAAACCCTACAAACGTTCAGCTCATAAAGCTGGACTCAACAAGTATTACCATGAGAAAACATTCACAAACTCAACTCATTCGTACAAGTTTCAATTTTGTCCAACCGATCTGGCAAGAATATGTACTATGAATTAAGGATGGTTTATATCCCCAATCCATTTCTTATCCTGTTGACAGGTCAGTAAGGTTTCATTAACTTTGCAACATGTTAGAGACTATTTCTAGAAATAGTAAAGTAAATACATTTAGACATTTAGCCCTAATTTATACCCTAATATAGTATTAGTTCTTTGTATAAATAAACACGAGTTTACTATGAATAAAGGGGGAGAAAACCTTGAGTTTGTTTACATTGTATCAGAGCTCCACAGTGACCAACCCTAGTCGCACAACTTCGTCTCCTCCCGGTTGCCCACATGCCGGCAACATCTCCGGCCACCGACTTGACCGCCGGCAGTCCTCTTTTTTGCTATTTTGTGCGCTGATTTCAGTTTTTGGCCTTGTTCACTGAAAACCGTCACGAGGCCGCTTTCTTTTTCGCCAGCCGCCTCATCCTAGGGTTCCGCCACCACCATTCAGCTTCTGTCCAAAGTTTAATCGCCGGAATCTCGCCTTAGTGCGTCCAGTTCGAGGTATTTTTGGGTGTTTTGTGGTTTGAAGTTTTGTTACCTAGATTTGCAGTTCTGTCTAGGTCCTTTGGTCGTCTGTGTGGTTATATTGCCGAGGCTCGTGTGATTCTTGCTCTATTATTCACCTGAATTATCCATCAACCTTCTTGTGTCGATACACCATCTCAAAATGGAGTCGCTGAAAGGAAAAATAGATATCTGCATGAAATTGCCAGAGTTTTGTTATTTCAAATGTAGGTCTCTAAACATTTTTGGGCTGATACCGTTTCTA